CCAGCTCACGCTGGCTAAGCTGTGTTATCACCTCTGTCTGCCCAGTCCCCGCTGGTGTTCATTGCACCGCCCAGACTCAGAAGAGAAGGAGAGGGGTTCATTCACAGGCCCCGGGAGCACCCCACACCACGTCACGTCCTTGAGAGCACCAGGCCCTGGCGGCTCCAATCCGCCTCCCCGTTAGTGCTCTCTGCTCTCACGTCTCACCTCACCCACCTCCCTACTGGCGACCCTTTCGGTCACACCCTCATTACTCGTCCTTCCTGGGTCCTCTTTTTCCGTCACAGTGGCCCAGGGAAGACCCGATTCTGGGCCAGTCCTGCTGGCAGGTTTCTGTACTTCTCCACCCAACCCATTAGAGGCAACCCCCCTGTGGGGTTCTGAGAGGACAAAATCACCCAGAGGAGCGTGGTGGCACCTACGTTCCTGGCCTCTGGTCCTCACTGCTCCCTGACAACGTGCTCCCCACCTGCCTTCATCTTTCTTTGATCCCCCGGTGAGCACCACCACCCCACGCTCTGAAGACCACTCTGCCCCCCACACTGTAAGGGGGTCAGGTACACAGTGAGCCCATCCTTCACCTTCACGTTCACACGTCTCTCCACTGGGCCTTCCCTCACATCCCTGCCTCATCCAAGCGGAGGGTCCCAGGCCCTCCCACCGGCCCGTGGAGCTCGCCAGCTCACCCATCCTGAACCTCCCCGCTTCCTCTTCTTGTCTTTTGCCTCAGGACATCTCTCCGATGACGCGAACCCACCCCCCACACACCCCCGGGTTCCTCCTAGCCTTTGCCGTTTCTCTCCCTTCCACTCAGCATCAGGCACCCGGAAGGAGGCCCTTCCCTGCTGCCACCATGTCCTGGTCTCCCGTTTACTCCCTAACCCTCTTCAGTATGGCCCCTGCCCCTCCACTCCGGAAGTGACCAGCGAGCTTGGCAGCCGAACCCAACGGACACTCTCCCATTGCCACTTGGACTCTTTCTGTCCAACATGCCATCTCCCATGGGCCTCGGGGCAGGAAGTCCCTCCTGGATTTTCTCAGGGCTTCTCAGCCGTGGCTTCGAGAGCCTTCAAGGCCTGCAGTCATCAGCACTGTCCCTGCCACATCTTCTCCCCACGTCTTCTCCCGGAAGCCCCGTCCTGACCCACAGTTCCAACACCAGCCCTGTTCCGTGGCCTCTAAAGCTGCTCCTTGGGCCCAGACCTCTGCCAACTCAGACCCAAACCACAGCCGTGTCTCCACCTCTCTGCATCCCAGGTATTTCAGACCCAGCATGTGCCAAACAGAAAATCCATCTCTCTCCACAAATGTGACCTCACTCTAGTGGCATCGATGCTAAGGGGAAATCTCGTCCTTCAAAGCAGAAACCCGGGATCCGCACTCTTCCTCAACTTTGCAGGCTTCCACCTTCACCCACACTCACTGTCAACACTCACTATCCACACTCACTGCTCCCTCCTTGGCCACTTCTCACTGGCTGTTTAACAGCCTTCCACCTGAGGCCCTCGCCTTTGGTGTGTTGCTGTGTGCCATGGAGTCCATTCTGACTCACAGTGACCCCACAGGACAGAGTAGAACTGCTGCCCTCAGTTCCCAAGGCTGTAATCTTTATGGAAGTGACAGCCCCACCTTGTTCCCATGGAACGAATGGTGGGTTCCAACTGCTCACCTGGTCCACTTGAACCACCAGGGCTCCTGGCCTTTGGCCCACCCACGTCCAACCCCATGTGCACACGGGGGCCAAACAACTTCTCTCAAGTGCAGACCAGACTGTGTCACTTCCTGCTAAGACTCCTCTCAACTCCCCAGAACTCTGAAGGATACAGGTCAGATTCCACATCCCAACCCTGCCATCTGCCCCAACCTGAGTGAGGGCCATGTCACCCAACTGGGCCTGGACATACCTTGCCCCCCCCCCATCCAGAATGTCCTTTACCGAACGAAGCCCTGTAGGTACCCTGAGGAGCCCTGGTGGCACAGTGGTCAAGTGCTCAGCTGCTAACTGAAAGGCTGGCGGTGTGAACCCACCAGCCACTCCAAGGTAGAAAGACCTGGAGATCTGCCCCCGTGGAGATTACAGCCTGGAAGACCCCAGGGGCAGCTGTGCTCTGTCTGTCGGCACAACAGGAGTCAGAATCGATTCAACCACAGTGCTTTGGTTTCATGCACCCGGGTCCTGCACGAGTGCTCTTTCCTGGGAAGACTGCCAACGGTGATGAGACGCAGACCTGACCCTCTCTGGCACTTGCCCCTCTCTGGCCCAGCTCAGTCTCCCCGTGTGTCTCAGGACATTGCCAGACTGCAGACTAACTGTGCCTTCCTGCTGGCACGTGAGAACTCCTGCAGGGCAGGACACACAGCCTGTGTGACTCTGCGGCCCACACACAGAGCAGGGCTTGTCTGCGGAATGAATGGTGCAAAGATTCACGATCTCCCAGATGCCCCAACCACAAGATGGCATCCTCTGCTTCTTCCCAACACCCCAACTGCACAGCCAGTGAAACCTCACCCCTGCACAGTATGATGATGCATCTACTCTGACACCCTGCCTGGGGGCCACGCTCAGCAAGGCCTTGCCTTCAAGCTTATTATAACCATCACAGAGATTTCCCACCACGTTAGGGCCTTTACTTTTTCTTAATCTAATTCTTTACTCCAATTGGAGTTTATTTCGGAAGGGAAGGGCCTACATCTGCCCAGTGTTCTGCAGCGAACACGTTAATTGTATAATTAGAAAACACTCCATACTCTGAACATTGACATTGGAATCAAGCTCCTAACTACATTCAAATTCCATCTGCCGGTTTTCAGAGTGGCCGGTCACACTGGGAACAGGCTGCCTTGATTTGCATTAAAGCGGAAGACGGTGCTTAGTCTGTGCTGAGGATGCTTTCTGACTTGTGTTCTTGTTCACACAGGTCAAGCTCTTCTCTTTGCCAACATTTTTGACTATCTGTCTATGACACCACTGTCACTAAGATGAAACACTCTGCACCGTCCAAGTAACTGCCACTGGCCACGTCTGGCTAATACCCAAAACCTACAGAGATGACACACAAGCCCGGAGAGTATGCACATGCATCTGTCATTCACGTCCAGGCCCCCACACAGGCACACAGCCAATTAACGAGACACAGGTCACGCTGTCAAGGTATGCCTGACGAGTGGCAGTCAGCCAGCAGGCCAAGGGTGCACTAGTTAAAAGGACAGTGATTGTGGCTTTGATCAGGAGGGAAGGAGCTGGTAGACTAGGGGTGGTCACTTATCAAACCAGGAAAGCTCCGTGTGTGTCTAAGCAAATCTGCTTCATTTCAGTGGTGGGTGTGTCCCGCATACACACATCAGAGCGACAACTATACATGCTTACCTTAAGAGTGCTGAAAAAGTGGGCTGCTTTGGTTTTGAGAGGCCCAAGATACCAGTACCTGAGAGGGAGCAAAAGGAGAGTGAGATTAGAATGAGGAAGGGGCTGTCGATGTGACAGGCGTCATTCATGACAGAGGACACGTTAGCCCTGCACCACCACAGCAGGGGCTTCTCAGGAGGCCGGGCACCAGGCCAGGCATAGAAGGATGACCCAGAAAACTCTGCCTCTGCATTTCAATGACGCCAAACAGTATCCAGCTTGACAGACGAGAGATCCCTGCAATCCATAAGCCTACGTAATCAGAGACCCCATGGTCTAAACCCACAAGCACCACTGTGGTATACACCTCTGTGGTGGTTAAGTCTGTGTGTCAACTTGGCTGGGCCTGGCTGAGGGGCTGGGCAGCTGGATATAGTATTCCCATGATGAGACTGGTAATCACCTCCATGGTGGAATCTGTATGAGCAGCTGCGTAGCTGCCTTAGGGCTGTGGTCTGAGTCCCGCAGATAAGGAGAAGGCTTAGGGAACAGTCTCTAGCTTACTGCACACTTGGACCCTGGATGTAGCCGTGGTGTTGTTCAGCAGCCTGCTGTGCTCTGCTGACCTTGGGACTTTCAATGGACTTGAATGAATGGCCTGCCATGTGGTTTGGTAACATGGGGATGTGCCTTTTCACCTGTCAACCTTGGGCTTATTAGCCTCAGCAGCCAGCAGCTGTGTGAGTGAAGAAACGCCTCTCGCTTTGGTGGGCCGGGAGCAGGAGGCAGAGCTGAAGCCCAAGGCTGAAGGGCTCTCACCCAGCTCCTAGCCTGGCACTTTGAACTCACACTTAAAGCCTCTAAAGAGAGGAGAACAAACTCCTGTTTCTTCCCGCCATCCCATTTGTGGTATATTCCTGACAGAGTGGCACTAGGGAACCAGAACATCCTCCTACCATCGATGTGGCCAAGGACGCATTTGAGAGAGCAATGACTGGAGAAGGACAAAGGCACAGGGGGATGCAGATGGTGGCATGTGATGGGCTCCATGCTAAGTGGCCGGTTTTACACACCAACTTCACACACAGACTAAAAATGTAGAAATCACCATACCCTCCCACCACTCATGCCATGCAGTTTTCAAACGGCAGATGTTGAACCTGAGAACCAAAATGGACTACTGCAGACTTCTAAGTCCGACTTAACAGCACCCACCAACAACCAACACAAACATCCTGAGACAAAGAGGAAGCTGGAATTAGAAAGGAGGCACACAGCAGACTGCGCCCCCCAGCTCCACGCTCCCTATTTCATTCTGATCACCATGCATTTACTTAGCACCTGTGTTTTTAGTGTGTAAAATCCCTGCCTTTGAAGGCTTATGAATTGAGACAGACGCAAAAAAGTGACAGAAAGCAGTAAGTGACTGTATGAGACATGGTTAAACCGAGAACTGTCTGTTGGTAAGGAGCCAAGAAGAGACAAGACTCACGACAGCCTTGTCCCAGAGCAGCTGTGCCTGTCCCGTGATTGGCACAAGGGTCAGGGCAGCATGGGGCTCAGAAACATGGGCAGAGTTAGATACCTGCAGCAGGAAGGAAGTCATTCTAGGCCAGATGAACAGCAGAGGGAGGGGACGTGGTGAGAGTAAGAGCCACAGCAAGAGGCAGATACGTGAAAGCAAAGCCAGACTGGGGTGACGAGAGGGAGATGGACCCTGAAGGCAGGAGGGACCAGATGACCTGTGCAATGGGCAAAGCAGGGCCCTTCAAATCCCCACTCAGGTCACTACTGTGGTGCAGCATCAGACACCATCTGAGGCCCTGGGGGTCAACAAGAATCAGGAGCAGCACAAAGGTGGCTCCTATGAGGCGGAGGTCACACACACGCACCTCCACCCTCCAATGTTCCCACCACTCTGACACCAGCCGTCCCTCTCGCAGAATTGTCCTCTTGGGGTTCGATAATCTGTTGCAATGGCCACACAGCACTCATGAACCACACTCACAGTTAAGTGGTGTATTAGGGAGTAACAGGCTACATCTCAGAATCAGGGCCAACTTGGAAGTAACAAAACCAACTTGGGATCAGGATCAGGACGCAAGGTGTGGGAGGCTCCCTGATAGAGCAAGCACATCACTCCTTTATCAGGTGCTGGGAAGCTTCTGGCCAGGACAGCTCCAGCAGGCCTCTCAGCCATGTATGTCCACTCTTGGGCATGCAGGCCCCCTCTCAGCCACGCAGCCTCTCTGCCTTTGGTGTCCCCACTGTTGGCCTCTGCACTGCTGACTGACCCAGCTCACAGCCACTGCAGCAGCCTGCTCCGTGCTCTCAGCTGTTTTCCTAGCAGCAGCTTTCCACCATCACTGCTGACCCTGCCACTAGGCCCATTCTGGGCTCGTCTCAGTGTTACAGCCCTTGGCCTGTGTGACAGCCCTTGGCCGGGGACACAGCTCTTTGAGGTTCCTTACCTCCTCTCCTCTCTGCTGCTTCTCTCTTCTTCCTTATAAAAACCTCTGTGGGGCTGGCTACTTATAGAAGCAAACTTTTCAATTTCAAGGCATGGCCCTCCCAGCAGGACCACAAACTGACCAATCCCCTCAATGGACCATATACCACTCAGCTTGCATAGTAAACTAACCAATCACCGCACAGTATATAAAACAGACCAATCATAGGACAGACTGTAGCCCAGGGCTTGACAGAAAGTATCAAACCATCAAGCTGTTTACAGTTTACCCAGAAATGTCAATCAACCTGGACAGAAGTAATAAACCCTCTGGGGTATAAAACTAGGGCAAAGGTAACTCGGGGCTTCCTCCCTCCTCCCCTTCCATGGAGTCGGACCCAAATCATAGTGACCCCTCCTTGGGTTTCTGAGGCAGTATCACTACAGAAGTAGATTGTCCAAACTTCCTTCCCAGGACTCAGGGCTTAGGGGAAAAAAGCCGTTTTTTTAAAAGAACAAAGGCAAAAGGCCACATTAAAGGAACTCTTTTCACCACATCATCGGATGGGTTTTGTTTTTAAGCCAAGGTCTTTACAGTTTATTCTTTTACTAATTAGCCAGTTAGAAAAACCTCTCTCTACTGGGACACGTTCTAGATTGGCAGCAGTTCTTTTCAGCCCTCCAACAGCAAGTGTCATATTATACTTACAGTGGTCCCACGGCCACTCCTCACACCCTCACTGTTTCTCCCAGAGGTACTCGATGGTACTACGTAACAACCACCGGGACGTTAAAATTCATCGTTCAGAAATTAATCAAAATACTGGGAAGTCTGTCAAAACCCACAGGACTGCGCAACACAGAAAGTGAGTTCTCATGCAAACTATGGACCTCGGTTACCAATATCAATGTTGGTTCACCAGTTGAACCAATGTGCCCCAGGAGTCCCAGATGGCAATAACTGGAGAGACCACAGTGCCAGGGAGGGGTGTACAGGAGCTCCGTGCTGTCTGCACAGTTCTTCTCTAAACCTGAAACTGTTCTACCAACTAAACCCTGTTAGAAACACAAATACTGAAAACTACGTGAGCCATTTCTACCGGGGCTGAGAGGTGGCTGTGCCAACTGGCTGATGGAGACACTTTGGAACACCATTCACTGGCACCACCATTGTTTCCAGGGGAAGCCAAGCAGTTCCTCCTGGTCAGCTGCTGGGATCTGTGACTACAGATGAAACACGTGGGGATTTGTGAGTTCAAGATAATCACAGCACACGTCCAGAGAAGACGACGTGAGACGTGTAGAACTCAGCGTGCAACACACACAGTCATCTCTCTCTCTAACGTTCCGCTGCCACAGGTCTCATCAGGGGGAGGATAAAGTGACACAAGTGAGAGGATGCTGGAACAAGGATGCCGGGCAGCCTGTGAGGAGACAGGGCTCCTTGGAGTGTAATTCAGTCATAATTCATCCCTCCTGTCCTAAGGAAGCCTCTGCCTACCAACAGGACAGGACACGCCATGCTCCACGTCCACAGCTCCATGTTACACACCAACAGGACGGGACACGCCATGTTCCCAGTCCACAACTCCATCCTACACACCAACAGGTCAGGACATGCCACACTACACATCCATAGCTTCATCCTACAAACCAACAGGACAGGACATGCCACACAGAACGTCCAGAGCTCCGTCCTACACACCAACATGACAGGACACACTCCAGTCCAAGTCCACAGCTCCACCTTACACAGCAACAGGACGGGACACGCCACGCTCCACATCCACAGCTCCACCTTACACACCAACCCGACAGGACACACTCCAGTCCAAGTCCACAGATCCATTTTACACACCAATAGGATAGGACATGCCAACCTCCACGTCCACAGCTCCATCCTACACACCAAATTCTTCCAAAACAAGCCCACTCCCACAGGAAGCCTATGATGGCCGCCCATCTTCTCCTGTACAGCTGTCTCTTCCTCCTCATGATGGAGCCAGGCACCATCTCTTCCTTCTCTACTAGGGCAGCCATGTCTTTATAGCTGAACCTCCAGGAAGCACCCCTACAGAAGTCTCACTGGGACTGTAAAGGCTTTGAGCAGTGGCTACACCTTGCCCTCAGTGCCTAGTGAGGCAGGCTGTAGGGTGACAACAGCCAGCGATCCCTTTGGGCTCACCCATGCCTGACCTCTCAACGTGGTGTCTATAAAGAGAGACACACTCTTCTCTTCTCTAGCTACCAACAAGGTAACACTGGGGACACAGGAACCTTTCCCAGCCCTCCTGCGCGTAGAAGATAAACTTCTACCTGATGACTCTGATGGCATCATCCCCTGTAGCTGTAGCCCAGCCTTCGGGCCCACCATGTTTCCTCCCACCAGACTACTGCATGTCAAAACCTCCGAGACAGGGGCAGAACAAGAAAGAGGATTTACTTGCTGACTTTGACACCGGCATCCCGGAAGGACCCCCATCGAAGGCCGGTCACTGCGAACACGGGCTGCTCCTTTTCCCCCTGCAAGGTGAGGACACTGAGTTTAGATGAACGGCCACCACCCCAGCGAGCACGCATGGCCTACTTCCCATCAAGCCAACATTCTGAAAAGGACGTGCAGCCCTTAAAGGCACCGGTGGTGTGTGGCTCAGCAGGAGCGCCTGCACGGGCCGCACGGCACAGCGGGCCTCACACACCTGCTGTGGGGCAGGAGCATGGCCGCTGCAAGTTCCTGCCCCACAACAACCCCCCTCCAAGTATAAGTGATACCCGTGCCGGATCCAGACTAGGGCAGCCGCAGGCGCTGAAGACCAACAGGCACCGTGTACCGCTACCCACTAAGGAGAGGCAGCAAGCAGCCGCCAGACACAGCTCAACAGGCTTCACTGGAGAGGGCAGGGCCAGCCCCCTGCTCCCAGGACAGGCAGAGGACAAGGGACTAAGGAGAAGCGGTCTGCTGAGTCTTTGCTCGTACTCCCTGAGAGAACAGGGACGGGAGCCTCCCCAAAGTCCACTGCCACTCATGTGAGGGGTTTCTACAACCACCCCCAGTGGGTCTGCCCTTCTGCTCTCTGACCTGGTCCACAGCGAAGGGAGCCAGAGTGCTGGCAGAGCAGAGGAGGTGCTGCGAGGAAGCCTGAACCAGGCCTGGCACAGCAAGGGCATGCCGGGGGCCTGGGCCCAACGACTTAACAAAAGAGACTCCTGGGCACTTCTGGCCCAGGGATGCCATGAAGGGCACCTGGGAATGAGAAGACAGCCACCTCCACATTACAGTGCTCTGAACAAGGCACACTGCCCAGACGGACATGTTACAAGGCTCATTCAGGCTTCTGTGGAGCCTTGTCCTGACGATGAGGCACATGAGGGATTCCTTAGTGTTGCTGTTGTTAGGTGCCACCGAGTCAGTTTCCACTCACAGCGGCCTCACGTACAACAGAACAAACACCGCCTGCCCCTGCGCCAGCCTCCCAACACTTGCTGGGCTTGCATCCATTGTTGCAGCCGCCACGTCAATCCACCTCGAGGGCCTTCCGCTTTTTCACTGACCCTCTACTGAACCAAGCATGATCTCTTCAATCTTTTCTCCATTTACAGTGATGTTGCTTATTGGTCCAGTTATGAGGATTTGTGTTTTCTTTATGTTGAGGTACAATCCATACTGAAGACTGTAGTCTTTGATCTTCATCAGTGCAAAAGGGACATGGAGGTGGCATCTTCTGACCCCCTCTAACTTCACAAGAGGAAGACAGATTCACCATCAGCAGCCCAAGGCTTATTCCTGTGAGGCCAGACATGCCACCACCCTCCAGCCTTTTACCAATTCTGACACCAGTCATCCCTCCCACGGCACTCACTACTTCTCTGCTAGGTTCGATAATGTGTTGCAATGGCCACACAGAACTCACAGACAATACTCATGATTATGGGCTTTATTAGGGAAGTAACAGGCTACAATTCAGGTTCTGGAAATCCCTCAAGATACAATTCTTCAATCAGGACAGTCTCCCCTCTGCTGTGCCCCCAGACATGCCTCTCTGACCCTTGGCCTCTCGGCCTGGCTTCTGCCCTCTCAGGTAAGGGGTACAAAGCTCTTTTAGCTCTGCCCATAGCTACATCTACCCCACTCCACCAGCAAGACTCCTGCCCAAAGGCATTCAGCGTTCTCGCTCTGTGGGCTGGAAAGCCCAATGCTCTGTCCCGAGCCTCTTGGGTTTCTCAGCTGGGTCTCTGCTGGGTCATCTCTGCCAGTCTCTGTCCAGTGCAGGGATCTCAGGTCCAAAGACATAGTCTGCTTCACCTCTAGCTCTTCTCTCTTGATGGCAGTGAGAGCCCCATTTTTGCCTCTAGGCCAAAAAAACCAAATTCACAGACGTCGAGTCAGATCCGACTCATAGCGACCCCTCCTTGGGTTTCCAAGGTGGTATCACTACAGAAGTACATTGCCCAATTTTCCTTCTGAGGAGTGGCTGGTGAATTTGAATCGCCAGCCTTCTGGTTAGCAGTCAAGTGCCTTAGGCACTACAGGCTCATTTTAAGCCTGGCAGAGTGACAAAAACTAGCCAATCCCAACATCAGAATTCTACACACCTTATTTGCATGGTCCTATCCAGTAATCTGGTGGGAGTTACAGACTTTGGCCAGAAAAGCCACACCAAGTAATCACTGTACCACAATCAGTAAGTGCTTCGAGTCATCTCACTTTCAGCAAGCAAGGTTGTGTCATCTGCACATCATAGGTTGTAAATGAGTCTTCCCCTAATCCTCATGCCACGTTCCTCTTCATACAGTCCAGCTGTTCGGATTGTCTGCTCAGCATACAGTTGGAATAAGTATGGTGAAAGGATACAACCCGGCCACACACCCTTCCCAAATACAGACCAGGCAGTATCCCCTTGTTCTGTTTGAATGAGAGCCTCTTGGTCTATGTACAGGTTCCTCAAGAACACAATTAAGTGCTCTAGAACTCCCATTCTTCTCAATGTTGTCCATAATTTGTTATAATCCACACAGTTGAATGCCTTTGAATAGTCAGTAAAGCACAGATAAACATCTTTCTGGTATTTTTGCTTACACCCAACACCCATCTGACATAGCTATAATATCCCTCATTCCACAGCCTCTTCTGAATCAGGCTTGCATTTCTGACTATTCCATGTCTATGTAATCTGCAACCGTTACTGAATTATTTTCAACAAAATTTTACTAGCATATGATATTAAAAGATATTGTCCAGTAATTGCTACACTCAGTTGACTCACCTTTCTTTGGAATGAGCACAAATTTCTTGGCATAAATGAATGAGCACTTCCAATATTGCAACCATTTGTTCAAAGATCTCAATGAGTATTCCTTCAGCTCCTGGAGCCTTGCTTTTGGTCAATGCCTTCAGTGTAGCTTGGACTTCTTCCTTCAGTGCCATCAGTTCCAGATTATATGCTACCATTGGTTTCTGATCATATGCTACCATTGGTTTCTGATCATATGCTACCATTGGTTCCTGATCATATGCTACCATTGGTTTCTGATCATATGCTACCATTGGTTTCTGATCATATGCTACCTCCTGAGATGGTGGAACATCGACTAGTTATTGTTGGTACAGTGACTCTATGTATTCCTTCCATCTTCTGTTGATGCTTCCTGCGTCATTCAGTATTTTGCCCATAAAATCCTTCAATATTTCAACTTGTTGTTGTTGTTACATGCCGTCGAGTCAAACCCGACTCATAGCGACCCCTCCTTGGGTTTCCGAGGCAGTATCACTACGGAAGTAGGATTGCCCAACCTTCCCTCAGTTCTTTCACGCCAAGCATGTTCTTCCCTTTTGATTTTCCAACTCCATGTCTTTGCACATTTCATTATAATACATTGCTCTGTCTTCTCAAGCTGCCCTTTGAAATCTTCTGTTCTGCTATCTCCCTTCATCATTTCTTCCATTCGCTTTAGGTACTCTCTGTTCAAGAGTAAGTTTCAGAGTCTCTCTGACATTTGTTTTGGTCTTTTCTTCCTTTCTTGTCTTTTTAATGACCTTTTACTTTCTTCATGTATGATGTTCTTCACAACATGTCTGGTTTTCTGTCATTGGTGTTCATTGCATCAAATCTACTATTCTTCAGTCTCTAAATTCATGTGGGATACTCTTAAGGTTGTATCTCTGGCTCTTGTGAACTTGTTTCAATTTTCTGGAACTTCAGTGGGGTAACTGCCTGTTCCACAGTCGGCCCCCAGCCTTGTTCTCACTGATGACATTAAGTTTCTCCATTGTCTCTTTCCACAGAGGGACTTGATCTGACTCCTTTGTATTCCATCTGACGGGGTCCAAGTGTATAGTCACTGTTTTGTTTTTAAAAATGGTTATCTGTAACGAATAAGTTGTTGGTCTTGCAAAATTCTATCATGCGATCTCTGGCATCATTTCCATCACCAAGGCCATATTTTCTAACTACCCATGCTTCTTCTTTGTTTCCCACTTTTGCATTCCAATCATCAGTAATTATTAACGCATCCTGATTGTATGTTTAGTCGGTTTCAGACTGCAGGAGTTGGAAAAATCTTCCATTTCTTCATCTTTGACTTTAGTGGTTAGTGTGTAAATTGAATAATAGTCATATTAACTGGTCTTCCTTGAAGGCGTATTTACTTCAGGACAGCTCTTGAAATGTTCCTTTTTACAATGAATGTGAGGTCATTCCTCTTTAATGTGTCATTCCTGGCATAGTAGACTATATGATTGCTGAATTCCAAATAGCCAGTACCAGTCCATTTCAGCTCACCAATGCCCAGGATATCAATCATCATGTATTCCATTTCATTCTTGACAACTTCCAATTTTCCTAAATTTACACGTTGTACTTTCCACATTCCAATTATTAATGGATGCCTGCAGCTGTTTCTTCCCATTTTGAGTTGGGCCACGTTGTTGTTGTTGTTGAGTGCTGTCGAGTCAGCTCTGGCTCCTAGCGACACTATGGACAACCCAACAGAATACTTCCTGGTCTTGTGCCATGCCCACAATTCTTGCTATGTGTGCATGAAGTTCTCCAATCAGAGATCAGGCAGTGTCTCACTGCTATTCATAAGGTTCAGTGGCTGACTTTTTCAGAAGCAGACGGCCCCTCCTTCTTCCCATTCCGTCTCAGTCTGAAAGCTCTGCTGCAATCGTTCCACATTGGCTGACCCTGCTGATACCTAAAATACTGGGGACACGGCTTCCAGCCTCACAACAACACATCAGCAGCCGCAGCATGACCCACTGACAGACAGGCGGTCCAGTCAAGACTTCCTAAAGGAGCTACTGTGGAGAAGCACCCGCCGACTGACACTGCATCTGACCCTGCTGAACGCAATCACACACCCA